GTTGGATACTAATTCAAGCTATTTTTATTGTTCTGTATGCAGAGATTTCCATCTGCATTTGGCAAGAGATATATTGTAAAGGGAAACTATGCTGGTAACCCTTGAGATTGCAGGAAGAAGATGGGTTGTGAAGCTAAAAAACTATGGTGGTTTTAGGTGCTGTTTAACAAGTGGTTGGACTCAATTTGCTGGGGTAAATTATCTCCAAAAGGATCACTTTTTAATTTTTATTCTTTCACCTCATCAATGCTACTGATTTGGTGTTCAGAGTTTCCATCATCAAACATAGAGCTTAACATATATATATTTCAGTAGTTATGTAGTCGGATGAGCTTGTGAAAGACATGATATCTGATTTGAATGGTTTCTAATCGCTATTCATCTTCAAGTTTCGAATTTGAGTAGATGAACATTTATTATTAAATAATTGAATCTTTTGTATAATTATTACTCGATTAATAAAAGATATACTAAATCATACCTTTAATTTTTTAAAATAATTAGTACTTAAACTATCAATTTTAGTATGTACTTAAACTTGTATGTATTTAAAATCATACTTAAAATTTAGTTTTTATTTCATTTTAATACTCTGTTCAAAATTTAACATTTAACGATTAGTTTTTGAAAAATAAAAATTTAACCTTCTAGCCTACGTGTCCAAAGAAGATTGGTGATTATTGGTATCACCGTCGTTAGGAATTAATCATTAGATCGGACGGTGGAGAAACAAGTATTTACCGACAGTCGCTGAAATTCATCACGTGTTCAAAGAATAAATAAAAACGCTGTAGGAACTAGGAACATATTTGACCAACAGAAAGTTGGTGCTAATCACAGGCGCTGCTCAAGTGCGTGTCTCTTGAACCATGTGATTGTATTGGGTTTTCACGTTTTGTCTGGCATACCCCCTCTTTTTATTGCTACTTTTTTGCTAAATTATACACCCCTTTTAAATTATTACAATAGAATTTATTTAGATTTGATCATAATATCCAAATTTGATCTTGTGTTATCCATAAAATATTTCTTCAAGGATGAAAGCTTAACTCACTAAATACAAATTTAATTCAAATTTATTGTGTTCTATTTTAATTTTTTAAAAAGAAACACTTTTAATTTTTTTTCAATAACATCGGGATCACATCTTCCAATATAATAATATCACGTATGATTTTATAGAAAATTTAAAGAAACTGAAGTCTAAATAACGATGGTGTACAAAAGCATGATTGGATTTTTTCCATAATAATAATAATATCCTTATCTTAAATATTTTTAAAGTAAATATATATATATTAAATAATATTTTCTTAAATAAATAACAATCAATAATATTATTTTAAATTTAATGTTAAGATTTTCAAAATAGATATTTAGGACAAACATTAACAAACTTTATTATGATTTATTTTAGCAATATAAGTGGTACCAAAACTAAAAAAATGCATTACCCTCAATTTAACATGTTAAATAAATAAATTTATCAAACGATCTCAATAGTAAAATAATAAAAGATAATGTCATTATTACATTATTACTATAGATTTGAGTTTAAGTAGTTATATTTACAAAGTGCATATGTATTATTGTTAGTAGAGTAAGAAATTTTAAATATATCTTACCTTTAATCACCTCATACTATTAAAAAATAAAAAAATAATAAATAGATGAAGAATTTAATTACTTATTTGATCACTAATATATTAGTGTTTTTTTAAAATTATACATAACGTTATATTTGATTTTATTTTAATTACTCAATAAAATATAATAATAATAATAATAATAGTCGTATAATGTCATATTAATATAAATTTCATATCAAAACTTAAATAGCAGGTAACTGGTCAAGTAGATATTTACCTAAAATATATTTAACAAAGTTTTTTAAAAAAACAAAAGGTGTTTTACACGCGGTAAGTGGGGCGCGTAAACGAAATAGAACTAAACCCGAACCGCACTTAATTTCAAAAAATACTTTCCACCTGTTCTTTTGTTAAAGAAAACCGAACTGGGTAAAAGCCTGAAAATAGTAGAACTATCGAGGGGCACTATCGTCACAAGGATCTATAAATGAAATAAAAAACAAAATCCACTTCATAATACACAGCACAGCAGAAAGCCATAAATGAAAGGGTAAAGGTACTCTTTTCTTTTTACATAGGATCCCCAAATCTTACTTTAAAGTTGGCTTCTAAATCTATTGAATCAACCTTTGTGCTAAAGAAGCTTTACTCTTCTTATCTGGTGAAGTATCCTACTCTTTGTTTAGTTCTTTGTTAAATCTCAACATTATTTTTTAAATCCTTTGTATTTGTATGATTTTGATTTTGTGGGTCTTGCTTTTGAGTTGCTTATAGGTGTGGGTTTTCTTTTTTTGAGTTTAATTTTGTTGTGTTGGGTTCGGATTTGGAGAAATGTTTGTTTCTTTTTTAGTCAAGTGCAGACTGGACTCTTTAAGTTTTAGGATTTCTGAGCTTTGTTTGTGTTTTGAGAAAAATGTTAATGAAATGTGATCTTTCGAGCGTTTTGTTTGTTTGGTGATTTGACATTCTCTCTTTAGATCAAATGATGATTCAATTCTCAAGGTTTTTATGTCTCATTTGGGTAGAAATGAGTGGATATTGACTGTTTAAGATTTTTTTCTTAAATGTTTTTACAAGTGTTAGCTAGGAAAATTCTTAAAGGAAGAAAGAATCAAATGATGAATCATTGCATTCATTTTTTTTTTCTCGTGCTTGCTTTGTTTTTGGTCTATTTTTATGTTTTCTTTCGTAATTAACAATTCTTTACAAATTATGTTGTCTTCTCTGATTAGGAATTGCAAGATGGAGAACATGAATAACTTTTGGCAGTTGGGAGATGATCTTCGTGGACAATCGAAAGTCGCAGAGGATAACAAATGGTTGATGGCTGCATCAAAACTGGCTGAACAGACGAGGATAAAGGGTGAACGTATGAACAATCTAGATCTTTCTATGGGTCCAGCTGAAATGAGGATAAGGGATAAATTTGGGTTCCAGGAAGACAACAAATTTGAGAACCTTAACTTTACTATGTTGAATTTGAACTCCAAGATTGGAAATAATGTAAGCAAAAGTTCCTTCCAAAATGGTAGTTACAATATGAATGCTGTTTACCAGAAAAACAACAGCAATACCCTTGGAACCCTCGCTGGCAACAATCATAGCAGCAAAGACGTCAACTATAACAGCAACACCAACAATAACAATAACAACAGCAATGAGACAAGCAATGTTGTTGACAAACGATTCAAGACTTTGCCTGCCACGGAGACACTTCCAAGAAATGAAGTGCTTGGAGGATACATCTTTGTTTGTAACAATGATACAATGCAGGAAGATTTAAAGCGTCAACTGTTTGGTAAGATTTATGTTCTCGTATATGTAATTGTTGGTTCATTAATTCCCATTATTAACATTTTTAGGTAGGAATTCTTAGTCCTTACATGTTGCTATTATCTCATTTAATAGGCTTACCACCAAGATACAGGGACTCTGTTCGGGCAATCACACTGGCTTGCCTCTCTTTCTCTATAACTACACTAGTCATCAATTGCATGGTATTTTTGAGGTTTGTTCTCCTACATTCTCATCTAACGTTCTTTTCATGCACTTTATGATGCTTGATGATGTTGGTTGATTAGGCAATGATAGTATTGCCCTTCAACTGTTGGAGTTACTTTCTTTCTCCGAATGTTTGCATTTGCTAGATTTATGTGATAGTCAATCAGATTTATCAATAATACCTTTTAATGGTGAGATTGATTTCTCTTTCAACCACCTCCACCTCAGTCCCAAAAGGAAGAGATAGGCCTTGAATGTATTAAGTTTGTAATACTGGAGTGATATGACAATCAGGGTTAATTTATGTTCATAGAAGAAATAGATGTGACAATCATTTTAATCTCGCCCCCCTTCCCCTATTTCTTATATGAACAGGCAGCATGTTTTGGGGGTTCTAACATTGATCCAACTGCTTGGGAAGACAAAAAGTGTAAAGGCGAGTCAAGGTTTCCTGCTCAGGTGAAGTTTGGGCTTATCATTCCTATAATTGTATTGCTTATTTCAGTGGAAGATTGTACTAACCCTAAGCCTTTTAATTTTCTACCCTAATACATAGGTGAGAATCCGTATTAGGAAAGTCTGCAAAGCATTGGAAGAGGATGCTTTTAGGCCAGTCTTGCACCACTATGATGGCCCTAAGTTTCGTCTCGAGCTCTCAGTTCCTGAGGTATGAAAAACAATTATAAGTTCGCCCCAACAATTTCTTCTCTTTTATTATCAAAAGCTAACAAGTTTGGTTCTGAACTTTGCAGACTTTGGATCTATTAGACCTTTGTGAACAAGCAGGCTCTCCATAAGCAAAATGTTAGCCGAGTGCAAATCAGCAGTGTGCTTTTCAAAGATTTTCATAGAACGCAAGTTGTGGGTGCAAGTCCGGTTGGTGAAATCATCTTTGAAAAAAAAGTAGGAAATGAAGTTGGCCAGTTGAATAAATGCATTAGTGTTTTGTCAAGATGCTTTGTAAAACCTCTTTGCATGATAATCTATGAATCAAAAACCCCTATAGATAGACTTGCAAGATGTGAAAGGGAATGATATGTGTAATATGTTAAAAGTAAGAAAAGAAGGTATTGATGCCTTTTTGTGCTTATACATATATCCTATCTTCTTTCTAAGGAAACTCCTAATGCTGACAGAATGGATGTATAGTAAAATTTTAACAATCCTTACTATTTCTAGCTTTCTAAGGTCGACATTTAAGTTCAAGATCAAGCAAATGATAATATCAAAATAATCTTAGTTAAGTTATAATTAGACTAGGATATGCTCGTTTCAACAGCCACTATGTTCATTGAAACATCAAACATGCACAAGACAAACCAAAGGATAGTCATCAAAGAAATACGTACAAAGACAGAACAAGTACACGCTGTTATCATTCCTAAGGCCAGCCACCTCACGAAACAGTAATAAACTCAACTTCCACCAGAGGACCAAAGCAGAGTTTTCTATCCCAAAGTTGCAGACAATTGTAAACATCAATAAAGCATAAACGAAGTTCCATCCAACTTGCAGTGAACAATGAGTATTCCTTTGGCTTAATAGTATTAAGCTATTTCATAAACATCACCTTAAACAAGACTTGCTGGTACAGCCAAACTCTAACAAGTTTTCCATTGAAACCCATAAAACAAGAATGAACTACTCTATTGCTTTCCCACGCAAGCTGATGATCAAAGAGCAGCAGACATGAGAAACGTACGAATTCTTTGCAAGAGGTCGGCCTTTACGTTGTCGGGAACGGAAGCTGCATAAGCAAGGATTTAACCAAATCATAAAACAATGTATAACGGAAGGAAAAAAATAGATCCTTACCTCTTCCTTTTGGGGTGATCAAATGCACAAGGTCATCTACAGTGACATTGTTTCTTCCTTTCTTCTTAATATACGCCCTATCATTCATAACAGAAAGATGTTTCATGAAGAATAATCAGGATTGCACACAATGAACTAAATAGCTTATTGGATAAAAAACTAAATTTTAAAGGAAATAAGCCATCGGTGGAACATTATCTATTTTATGAAATGACACTTCATTTATCTATTGTATGTCCTTCAGAAGAAAAGGTCAACAACAAGGGTTACACAGCTTCTCACAACTAACAGGAGAATTTCCATACTTAGATGTGTTGTCATTCTCCGAAGCGTCACACGACATCACATTGCTATATACAATTAGATGCATCAAATAATAAGCCTAAGCATCTTTCATACATGATCATAATAGAAAACACCACTAGCTTTCCGTCAGCATCCAGAAAATGCAGCATAAGCATATCTGCAACATTTGGACATAGCCTGCACATTGTGTTTATACATAGTAGGAATCAACAATAATAAAAAAAAAACCTAAGAACCCCACAACAAATTTTTTCCCATGGATTAATCACTTAATAAAACCCGCTGTTGGAAAAAAAAACGATTGTGAAGTATTGTTAATAAGATAACACTAATTAGTTCTAAGTATTCTAATTGCCTTAACAACTGTGAATATTCAAAACTATCCACTTTCAGATACTACAATTGCCAATCCTTTCATATACAGCAATATGAAACTACTTGATTCTAATTACTCTAATTTCTAATTCTATATCTATGAATCTTCAACATTCTGTCGACTTTTTGATACTAACGATTCGAAGTTACTAACACTTTCAGACATTGCAAAGAAACTAGCATTGACCTAAGTTCAAACGATAACCTGAAGAAAGGAAACAGTAACAAGTAAAACCTGCAAATAGCTTTCATCTCATCCTTCCAACCACAGTCTATAAGCCTTTCTCTTAACAGCTCCATTAATCTCTCTTTTTCCCCACTCTCGATCAACTGCAAAATTCAATGAAATCATAGTAAATAAACTTTAAAAAACACCCAGAATCCGTTCCATAATTAAAATAGAGAAAAAACGACCTTGATGTTAATAATTTCTTGAAGGGTGGGTTCTTTCCCTTGATCTTCTGCAGCATCTGGAGTTGGTGGTCGATTTACTGAATGTTTCCTGTTATGAAAAATCAATTTAATTTAAAGATGCGATCTTGGTTACCTATTCACTGAAATTTAAATAGAATCAAGAGGTTTACATGATTTTAAAGCTCTATTGGTCTACGAAAAATCAACGAAAGAAGAAATTGAATAAAATTTTATCCTGGAAACAGCTTGAAGAACGAGAATGTTAGAAGAAAGACGGGAATTTTTAATTTCTTTTCCCCTTTGGCGACCACCTCCTGAAACGGCAGCGTTTGGGAGGTTTTACATGATGAAACGTTTTACTATTTTGTCCCTTGGATTAGTTTGAAAATGCGGAAAAACCTAATACGTCAACGGCCGGAAGATAAAGAAGTGGCGCCAAATGGTAACCATAAAATTACAAAAAATATCTTTGAAAAATTCGCTAATAAAATGAAAAGAAAATCCAAAGAATTTCAATCTCTTCCATAGACGCTAACCATTGTTTCATTCTCTTGTCGTGTTTTTTCTTGTAATCAATGGCCTCTTTGCTTCTCTCTTCTCTCTGTTTTACTTCTCAAAAGCCTTCTTTGACGTCCTCCCTCCGTTCCACCTTCGGAGCACCGACGGAGTCCAGATTCGTTGCTCCGTTATCAATCGGATTCCGACCGGTTAAGAAGAGAAATGGAAGAATTAGGGTTTTGGTTTACTCCAGAGCTTCTCCGCTTGTGTTCCGGGACCTCGACGCTGATGATTTCCGGCATCCACTCGATAAACAGGTGGGGTTTCTATCGGAAATTTAACGAATTTAATTCATAATTTATTTGATTTTCTTGTTTTGGTTGTAGAACACGCTGCTATTGAAAGCGATTCCAGGGCTTAACGAAATAGGAAGAGCTTTACTAGGTAATTGCTTTTACTAATTAAATTTGATCATTTTTGCATATTTTTAAAAAAGTCAAAACTAGATCGTAAAAAAACTAAATTTGATTAAAAGGGAGGAAATTCCAAGATTTTAAAGGAAAATCACGTAATTTTGACATTTATTTACTTCTTTGAAACTATGGCTAGTCCAAAACAAATGGTTATAATTATGGTAAATCTCAATGTTAAACTAGTTATTTTTTAATGCTTTGTAGCAGGAACCATGACAGAGCAAATCATGCTTCTTGAGAATATAGGGACATCAGTCCTTGTTTCGAAAGACCAGGTTACTTGATGTTTAGAAAGTTGTTTTTCAAAACTTGTTTTTCTGGTTGTATCCACCGCAACTTGTTTCAAATTACTGTCTTTTTCTTGTATCAGCTTCCCGAACTTCATAAAATGATGATTGAAGCTGCCGGTATATTGAATATTGAACCTCCAGATCTCTATGTTCGGCAAAGTCCTGTTCCAAATGCTTATACATTGGCTATAAGTGGTAAAAAACCATTTGTTGTCATTCATACTAGTCTTGTGGAGCTTCTGACACGAAATGAACTGCAGGTTTTCACTTCTTTCCCGCTTTCTTTCTTTCATAAAACGTCTTAACCTTATTGTCCATTCATTTGGATTTTCCCTTTATAGTGCATTGAGTGCTACTTGAATCCTTCTCGATAAAAGTTTGTTTGTTTGTTTAGTTTGATTTGGTTTCTTTCTTTTCTTTGTGATCTTCTACTATTACAAAATGTTTTCATATGCATATTTGTGATTATATATGTATAAATCGGATTAGATGTGCTTTATTTCCCATAGTAGGGCTGTGTTTTAAAAGACAAAGTGCCATAATTTAGTGTTTTGCAACTTTGAAACAGGCTGTTTTGGCCCATGAATTGGGTCATCTCAAATGTGATCATGGTGTCTGGCTTACCTTTGCAAATCTTCTCACACTTGGAGCCTATACTATTCCTGGTATGAATTTGTTTCTTTCCGTTACGTTTTTTATTTAACTAGAGCACATTAGAAGTGTGAGAAAAAAGTCTCAGACGAGACTAAAGGAGCTTATGGACTTTCAGGATAAGTGATCCTTAGCTTAAGTCCGGTGCACTTGACATTTTGAGGACACTAATATATTGTTGATGAAGCATATGTGCTGCCAGTATACATAAGCATGGGCTTGCTTTTCATGTGCTTACATGTACCTTGCAGTTTTTGCTGAGGGTGAATGATGATGATGATTTACAGGGACTACCATGTTTAAGGGGACTAGTATAAAATTTAGATGGCCCATACCATCTTATCCTAAAAAAAACTATTTTATCCCTAAATGACCTTAATTTTGGTTGAATATGTATATCAGGTGGAAGTATATATGCAGTTAATATACAACATAGCGTTGAGTACCTTTGTTTTTACAGGACTTGGTGGCTTTATAGCTCAGACTTTAGAGGAACAGTTATTCCGTTGGCTTAGGGCTGCAGAGCTTACTTGTGATCGGGCAGCCCTTCTCGTCGCACAAGATCCCAAGGTATGCAGCATCTTTCCCTGAGCCAACATAATCTGCAATTAAATTGTTGAGATTCCATTTTCTGACTTTCTTTGTGATGCGCCTACAAGAGGTTGTCATCTCTGTTTTGATGAAGTTAGCTGGTGGCTGCCCATCCATGGCTGACCAGTTAAATGTGGATGCATTTTTGGAGCAAGCTCGCTCTTATGATAAGGCTTCTTCGAGCCCGATTGGTTATTATATAAGGTAACCAATGGTTTGAATTAAGCAATTTAGAATTCTCCCTAGCACTTCCCTTTTGGTTGTCGCTAATTATCTCATGTTCAGAAATGCTCAAACGCGACAACTCTCACATCCACTGCCTGTTCTACGTGCTCGCGAGATTGATGAGTGGTCAAGAAGTATGACTACAGAAGCCTTCTTAAACGTGCAACTCAGATGAGCGCTGTAGAAAACGTTTAGCTTTCGACTGGACCTGGAGAAAGTAAAAAGTTTAAAGCCAGCTTTAATAGGTATGAGTTGCATAGTTATTTTCAGATTTCCAGAATAGTTTTCATGCATATCTTTTCTTTCCTATGTTTAACATCAGTATAATTTTATTTTACCTGAATATGAAGGGGCTAGCAATTTAAGCAATGTGATATTCAAAATTTTACCTTGCATTTGTACGATTTTATCATACGACCTTATTTTTTTTCTTGGGGATATTTTTTTTTCAGATGTTGCCTTTCCTTGCAAGGTTTGTTTCCCTTTATGTTTATATAAGATATTTTGCCAGACAGCAAGAACACAGAAAATGGAGGAAGCATCTGTAACACTGGTAGAACATTTGTCCATAAAGAACCACGAGAATTTAAAGAAGGTAAATTAAGGTAAGAGAATCATGTCTGGTTCGTCTTTGTAACTGTGACGGAGATTGTTATACCGTGTGCTTCAAAGGAACAGGAATACTGTATACCATCATCATTTGGAAGAATAAAGCAAATATAGCATTTTTTTTTTCTTCAAAATCCAGTAGTGAATACAATGCTGCTTACTTGATTAATATATATTTTGTGTAAATTAATTCAGATAATTTTAATACTTATTTTATAACTTACCTTTAGTTTACAAATTTAATCAAATCAACAATCGAAACATCATTCTTGATCAATCAATCTAATTATTTTAAATAATCAGATGACTCATAAATGCTAATATTGAATGGTTGAATTAACCATCTAATCAATACACCTTTCCAAACTATACCCTAAACAAAAATAATATTTTTTGATTTTTTTAATTCTCTATAATTATTTTTTTATAAAGAAAAATCTAACTAAACTAAATTTTGTAGTTATCATGATAGTTAAAATATTGTTACATCATTAATGAGAATTAGTTCAAGTGGTAAGTAGCATGATTTTGTTTAAGTAAGTTTCGAGTTCGAGTCTTTTTGAATGCAAAAAATCTCCATTGGAAGACTAATCTATCAAAACTAGGTGCAACCCGGGTTGAGACCTTTTTAGATTTTATTGTTTTTACTTTTCTTTTAAATGATTTTTTTTGTGTAAAATAATGTATCTGGTACCATTGATAATGTGCAAGTTTTTTTCGTGTAAAACTATGTTTCTTGTATTATTGATGATGTATTATTTTTAAGTAGACTTTTAAGTGTCAAATTTGAATAGCCGTGTTTTATATGGTTAAGTATAATTTAATATTTTTTTATAATCACTTGTCGATATATATCAGAGTTATTATTGTTTTAGAACTTACCTACTTATTCATAATTACAATTAAATACCTAAGAAACCATTAATCTATCAAATGTGATGAAGGATACGGAAAGCTTTGCAACATAGTTCCTTCCAAATATTTAATATCCAAATTGCTGACTTATTTAATCAAATTGAATTTGATTGGATTCCGTGTCAAGTTCTAATTTCAATCACCCTCGATTCTTTTGCTTTATACCTAGGAAGAAGTATTTGCATCAAGGGTATATTTGGTAAAAGAAATATATCGTTCTTACTAGGCAATGATAATAATAAACCAAATATAACATAATTGGCCATTTCCAGTGTTCAATCCACATTCATAAACACTGCATTTCCATTATATAAACCAAGAAGAAACATTGATGTCAAACTAAGAAAGCAGCCATGAATCTACCATATATAAATTACTATTTTTAACGAAATAAAAACATCTTCTTGCTAATTTCTACTCTTAAAAAAATGAAGTTTGATGATATTTATGCCTACACAAGCTACTTCCTTTTCTACATCCCTCTCAATTGCCATCCAGCAACAGTACAATTCTATTTCCGTAAGGAATGGGTCTACTGTTGATGCATGATTCAAATCAATGAAAGAACATACTGGGTCCCAACCAAAACTTCGGAGCCATGATTCAAGTGCTTCCTGGAGCATCACTTCCAACGGCTGGCCTGCGATTCAAATAACGTATAACAGCATCTTCAACCCTGTAATGAGTCACCAAAAGAGAAATTTAATTATTCTTCATCCTTTCACAAATATTATTACCACCATTATTGCTCTCAAAAGGTTTCCCAAAGAAATTAATTTAGACAAAGCATATAAATATACTACAACCCAAGCATAATATATACGAAAGAATGCAGTGGACTACTCAGACTTCGACTAAAATGATGCAGTGGACCAACAGTTTATCTCAAATACTGAAAACTGTTGGTCAAAACTTCTGTGAGCAAATCTCAAGTCTTAAACAAGATGCTAGTATGGGCTATACATATAAAGACTGCTTTGAAAGCTGTCTCCAGCAAAAGAAGACAAATTTTCAGGAATAGTAATAACTACTATGCCACACTTAGAGGTGAGATGCAATAGGGTTAAAGGATCAATCGGAGACTGA